GTCATTTTATTTTCAACTCTTTATTATATACAGATATGTTTAAAAGTCTGTGTTTAGAAACAAAGGGCGCTTTAGGGCTGTGATCCCACGAAACATCAGCACATTTAGGATACAAATGTCCGTGAATGCAGTCTGTGAAGCCGAAATGGAAAAGTGGCTTTGACAGCAGGACAGCAGTCCAAAGCAGACCTCAGCATCATCACAAGCTACTTCAAGAAACACAAGCTGAAGCTGTTGAGCATCACAGCCCGCTGTCCTGAAGACTGCTAAAAAACCTGTCGACGTCAATCACTCTGGACACGCCAGATCATCTAAAGTCATCTCAGAACTTGATCTGCAAATCCCTAAACCAAGAACAGAAAGACTCTTTGCTGCTGCAGAAAGTGTCTGTAAGCTGCCACAGGAGGAGTTCGTGAGCGCTGACTGACTTCTGCCACAGCGACTGCACTAGAATAACGACAGAAGACATCCGGGCCTCCTCCCTCACTGAACCCACAGTCTGTGTCTGTGCACATATTCTGTGTTTCAGAGTTTAACTGTGAAACTCGTGGCCGGCTGGTTAAAGTGTGCACCACGTCTCCACAGTGTCCACAGAGCTGGACTCTGGTTCCTCCACTCAGCACCTCTCTGAGCCTTCTGACAGCACGTCCACCTCCAAGGATGGACCACTGAGCTCTTTGTTCATCTGAAGACTAGAGCTGCTTTCTTTGTGTAAACAAACAGGACTCGACCTTTTCTCTGAGTTCTGCCGGGACTTTTAATGAAGCTGTTTCAGGTCATTTGTAGCGGTCAGTCAGCTAGTTTGCTTCGCTATTTAGTTCAACGTGTCCTCATTTATTTCCAGCGTTTGACCACCTTGCAGACAGCTGGACCATCATCTTCACCCTGGAAGAAATCGTATTCGGGATGCTGATTATCAAAGCTGTTCGTCTGGCCTCAAGCTGGTAAGTAACTGGTCTGATTACTTTGTGCTGAAAGCAGAGCGGTGGAGGTTCAGAAGCTAGTCTGGTGTTGGACGCTTGAACGTGTCAGATGATGTGTGTGATTGTGTTGTTTTGTTCCTCACAGTGATCAAATCAAATCCAGTTTATTGTCATGTTGCTGCACACACACAGTAGTCCAGGCAGAATGAGAGAGCGTTTCTTCAGGATCATGTAGTTCAGGGGTGTCAAACTCTGGCCCGCGGGCCAAATTTGGCCCTCTTTGTAATTATATTTGGCCCGCGAGACAATACCAAATGACTACTAGAGCTG